CATACCTCCGTCTAACCCGATCTGTTTCACTTACTTACCCTCCTTCCACTCCCATCAGAAAATTTTAAATTTTCATTCATGGAAAATTTGATGTGTCGATATTTCCAAACTAGACAGAATAGCGTCATGACTACTCGAACATATGCCAAGGGAGGAGGGTGTTTAACCCGTTCTGTTTCCTGCAGTGTCCACGGGGCACGGAACACAGCCAGACGCTAGTAGCCAGTAGGCCTTTGAGTATAGTATAGTTATATTCAATAATAGAATTTATTACGTTGTAGCAAATACTTACCATGTCGTAAAGATTTCTGATATTTATGTGAAATCAGTATAGTCACACTTTAAATTTAGAGGATGATTCTCACACAGAGAGTGGCATATAGAGGAAAACAGTGCTGTTTTGGGGGTAGCTCCTGGAGCCCCAACACAGAGCCTTGGGGGTGTTGGTGTCACTGGCACGGTGGAGGGTGTCTCTGCTGACAGACTGAGTCACAGTTCTGCTGCTTCTCACTGAGGCCTCAGCGTCTTTCTTTAGAAAAAGGAAATGGGGGATGCCTGGGTGGCTTACTGGTCAAGCGTCTGCCTTGGGCTCAGGTCATGATCCCGGGGTCCTGGGATCCCGGGCTCCCTGCTCAGCGGGGAGCCTGCTTCTCCCTCTGCCTGTTGCCCCTCCCCTCCGGCTCGTGCTCCCTCTCTCAAATAAATAAATAAAATCTTAAAAGGAAATGGAAATTATAGCACCCATTTTGTAGTAATTCTGGGGGCCCTGAAGGAGATGCCCAGTGTGGAGGGACTTGGGGTAGACCAGGCAGGAATGGGTGTTCAGAGAGCAGTGGTTCATTTCCTGTGGAGAGTCTGTGGTTGGAGTTCAGGTTTCATTTAATTATAAGAAGGGGCTGGGAATGTCCTGTCGCCAGAGACCCCTAATTGCCATGATTGCAAAGCCAGGGGCACAGGAAACACTGGGACATGGGAGGGAACCCGTGTCTGCTGCTGAGGTCCCCAAGGGAGAGACGAGCAGGACCCTCCGGGCGCTGACTTGGGCTCTGGCGTGCTGTACCTTCCCTTGGTGGAGGCTGGCCTGATTGCAGATTCTGCACAGCCGGCCTAAGGCAGAACCAAGGTGCAGGGGTTGGGGGTGTCCCCTGATGCTCCTGGGACCTGCCTTCTTGGTTGGGGTGCAGGACGTGACCAAGGAGACCAGGGCAGCCCCGGGGTGGGGGTAGGGGGACTAGCTTCTAGGATGGTTGGGGCAGGGGCTGGAGAAGGGAGCAGCAGCACTGCTATCGGGCTAGGAAAACCTGAGCAGAGCCTAGCAGACCCTTCCAGTGAGGAAAATGGGGGGTGGGAGATGGGGTCTAGGAGAGAAGCCAAGGTTGGGGCCACCCCCAAACAAGGGAAAGGGAGACTGGAAGTAGTGGAGAGAAGAGAGATGAAGAAGCACAATTAGAGATTTAGAAGGAAGAATGTTGGGGGGACGGTAAGGTGGAGGGGACTGCAGGAATCTCAGAGCCCATCCAGGACCCAAAAGGGCCCACTTCCGCTGTAGCTGGTACCTCTGGTAATTCATCTGGTAGCCACCAGGGGCAGTAGAGAGCCACCACACAGGAGTTGGGGCTGGTTGCGGAGTGGGCGGGGGCGGTCAGCGTGGGACTGGGAGGGGCAGGGCTGACACATTGCGCAAGGCGGGTCACCAGGACCAACGGCCGAGATCCAGGGGCTCCTTTTGGCTTTCCCACTGGAAGCCGCTTTTTCTGAGGCAAGCGGGATCTAATCTTAAGAAGGACAGTGCCATCCAGAAGTAACTGTGTGAGATTAGTAACTGGTGCCTTGCTTCCCGTCTTAGGATCAGCATCTTTATCACAGTCATTATTATTTTAAGGAGGGGCCCTCTGTGCTTTGAATCCCAGGCTTACTTCTCTGTCCGCCTTTCAGCTATACTTACCCCCAGGAGTTTTATTCTCCGCGGCAGTCATTGTCGTCCACTGATGGGGAAATTAAAACTCTCTGGCCTGGAGCGTCTATGGCTAGAACAACCTCCCTGGGCTTGATCAGTCCACAGGCTGGTTGATCTCTGTGTGTGTGTGTGTGTGTGTGTGTGTGTGTGTGTGTGTCTTTCCGGTTTGGGTGGAGGAAGTCAGAATGAGTTAGGGTTGCCCTTGGGGAAAAATGTGTTTTTCATGGATTGAGTTGGATGGGCAGTGTCTCCAAGAACACGTCTCACTTATTCCGCTCTGACCTTGCTGTGCGCACTCCCCCCTGCCCCAAGCCTTTGGGGCGTGCCTGGCCATGGTTCTCCTAGTAGGAGTCTGGATGTTTCTGGAACCCTCTGGAACCTTCTGGAACCCTCCTCTATTCCTCTAACCCTCAGGGATAGGACCCAGGGTTCCGTCAGGCCCCAAGGTGCTGTTTCAGTTTTGCTTGGTGGAGGAGCCTGGCGTGCTGTAAACAGATTAGGGAATCTTTTATGGGAAAAGGCTTAGAAATGGCTTCCTCTCCATGGGTGGTATGGTCCTCTGGGGTGACGTTTCCTGCTGCTGGTGAGGTCACTCAGCCAGGGTCCCCGTGGCTCGCTCCAGACATCCGCCTGGCCTGGCCTGGCTGCGTTCCTGTCTCGGTCTTGCGGGGATCTGTGTTTTGGGTTGGCCGGAGAGGGCCAGGATGGGGAGGTGGGTTGGGCTGAATCCTTCAGTCCATTCTCTTGCCCTGATGAAGTTTGGCCTGACAGTTGTGGTTCTTGTGGGATGGAGGGGCTCCAGCTTCTGGGGGGCCTGGAAGTGACCCCGACCAGCTCAGCCATGCCCCTGTCTCCATGCTGCGCATCCCTTCTCCCTGCAGCCCTCTGGGGTTAATCCATTTGCCGCCAGGAGTCATTGTGGAGTTCTCTTGGGACCCATGAATGCAGCTCCTGCCCACATAGAATTCGCTTTCATCTTGGCCGAGAAGAGCTGGCGTGCCCTCGTAGACAGCCCAGCTGACCTAGGAACCCAGCCTTCCAGGTGTTTGCTGCCCTGCTCCCAGCGGACTTTCACAGGCTCCAAGAGGGCAGAAGGTGCTGCTGGGTCTTCTCTGCAATCAGGTTGGTGGTATCAACCACCAAAAGGGTTGGAGGAAATGGTCCCCAGGGCTCGGCTAGGAGGCTCTGCAGCTGGAGACATCCGGGTGACGCACCAGGGCATTGACTCTAGAAAGTTTGCGCATTTGGAAGCAGGGTAGAAACACAGTCTGGGAAGGCTGCATGGTGGAAGAGGCATTTTAGTCGAGACTTGACTAATGAATAGTATTGATTCGGCCATCCAGAGATGGTGGTGGGGGTGAGGGAAGGACTACAGCAAAGGCATGTTCCAAGACCAGCAGATGTGCGGGAATGGAGTCAGTGGGAGGTCAATGTTATTCTCTGTGCTGGGTGGGGGAGGAGCCTGCAAAGGATTGTCCCCCTGTGTGCCTTGTAGCAAGAGCAGGGCTCTGGGTGAGCCTGCCGCCCCCTCCTCCCATGGGAAGCCAGTGAGCCTGCTTTTCTGGTTACTTCTGGACATGAAGGGACCTTAATCTCTCCCTACCCCGGGTTCTGGAGCCCTAAGCTCCTTAAACCCAAACAATGGGTTTAAGGTTTTTAAGCCCACTGATCAAAGCTGGAGGGCAGGAGTGTCGGGGCCAAAAAGACCAGTGAGCCCAACCCTTTCATTTCAGATGAAGAATCAGAGGACCAGAGAGGTGGTCTGACTTGCCCAGGGCTGCACAGCCAATGACAAGCAGAGCTGAGGCAGGAACCTGCTTCTCTTGACGGGGCACCCTCATGGAGAGAAGCCGTTGAAAAGCTATGTTTATTTTTGTTTTTAGTCTCTGAGACCATCAAGATTTTAGTAATAGAATTTTTTATTAAATAATGTCACGTCCACGTAATGGACTCTCTAAAAATAACTTTATATGGGTGTTTGGCACGAATACAGTGATTGCCTTGAGTGGGTACCACTATCAATCTCCTTTTACAGAGGAGGAAACCGAGGAACCAGGAGGACAGTGAGCTTGGCGGAGGTTCCGTGGGTGGGGAGAGGCAGAGCTGGGATTCCAACCCAGGCAGTTTGGTTCCAGAACAGATACCAAAGGGTTGATAGGGAAGACTTCTGAGCGGTGGAACTCTGGATACTACTTTTTTCTTCCTTTCTTTTTTTCAAGATATTGTTTATTTGAGAGAGAGAGAACCAGCATGCATGGGGGGCGGAGCAGAGGGAGACGGAGAGGCAGACACCCCGCAGAGCAGGAAGCCCGATGTGGGGCTTGATCCCAGGACCCTAAGATCATGACCTGAGCTGAAGGCAGGCACTTAACCAACTGAGCCCCCCCAGGAGCCCCGGATACAGCAATCTTCTCTGGGTTTTTCTACATTGTCAAATTATATGGAGTGAGAAAGGATTGTTTTTATCACTGGATGACTTCATAAGAAGTCTCTGCTCTCAGGGGTGACGCAGGGGGAGGGGGGTGAGCCCATGGCTGTTGTTTTCCTGGCTGGCCGGTGTAGCTGGGCATCTGGGGAGGGAGAAGCGGCCAGTGTGATGCAGGGGTTGTAATTCAGACGAGATGTGGGCCTGTAGAGCTAGGAAGGACTTGGGAAATCACCCCCATTTGACAGAGTACTCCCCACCCCCATCTCTGTCTAGACCCCAGGCAAGGGCTCCTTCCTCTGGCTTGGGGGTTTCGGGTAGCAGTGGGCACTTGGGAGAAATGCCCGGGCAGATGTGGAGTTGTGTGAGTTGGCAGCCTTGGGGGATTGGAGGTGGCGATGGGGGATGTTTCCGAGGGTGCCCCCCCGTAAAGAGAAACTGTGTTGTCATGGGAGGAAGAAGGGGGATGACGTGGGGCAGAAAGCCAGCTCCTGCTTCCCAGGGGTTGGCCAGGAAGGTGACTGGCCAGGTCTCTACGTTTTCTAGCTCTGCTCTGTGAACCTCTGAGATTTTGCTCTATGAGCCTCTCAAAGTGACTGTGTTTCTTTCTTTGACCAGAGACCACCTGGGAACGTCCCAGCAGTTCTCCTGGGATTCCAGCCAGCCCTGGCCCTCACAGGAGCTCTCTGCCTCCAACAGGTACGGTCAACTCACTCTTTTGGGGGCAACTGTTGGTGGGGGGGGCACACAGACCCATCTTCCCTGGAAAAGCCAAGACTCTGGGTTCTGGGGTCTGGAACCTGGCTGGGGATCTTACTGGCCAAACCCAGGGAGCAAGTTAGAGGGCTAGGAGGGTGGGCTGTCCCTGGCTGTGTCGGCAGCAACCTGACCCTCCCTCCCTATCAGGTGCTTAGGGAAGGAAGATGGCCAGGGGAGGTGAGACCTCAGGGCCGTAAACTGTCTGCTGGTCTGGGTACCCAAAGTGAGGGGGCAGAATTTCCTGCACTGTTCAGAATGCATCAAGGAGTAAAAGTTAACAGAGGCAGATTTTTACAGAGTAGCTTTCGAATAGAATGTTCTAGAAGGCATTTGGGATTGCTGGCAGGGTGTGAGTTCTCTGTCTGCAAAGGCAATCAAGTGGAGGTGGTTGAGGTCGACCTTCCTTTCCAGGAGCAGGTTGATTTAGAGCCCTTGACCCATCCATCTGGATCCCAGCCCTCAGAGGACACCCATGCTGTTGGCTGTGGCGCTCCCATACTAGACTGTATGATCCCTGAGGGTCGACACTTTGTCCCCCCTTGTCTTCTGTGGAATCCTCAGTTCCCAGACACGGGCTGACTTCAGTGTTGCGAGAACTCACAAATGTCCCCACAATCCCAGGGGGCGTGAACCCTATTTGTTGGTTTTTGGACTTTATGCATCAACCAGGCAGCAAAGCCCGGAAGTCGTGGTCCTGGTGGTGGCCTGGAATTTAAACGCTGGCAGCTTTGAAACTGGTGGCCGCCCACTGTAGCTGGACTGAGGCGGGGAGGCACACGGGAGGGGTGGGGTAAGGAGGGGAAAAGCAGGAGCCCACGTGGAGGGCGGTGAGAGCCTGTACAACCTTCATGGGACCCCAAGTCATCGGGGGTCTACGGAGCTTCCCTAGCCCATCACAGGTGACCAAGGCAAGAGCCAAAGTAATGACCGAATGAGGGGCTGCCTGACTGTGTGAGTGCGTGCGTGCAGACCGGCAAAGAAAGGACAAGCAACTTTTTTTTTTAAAGATTTTACAAATAGGCAGAGAGGCAGGCAGGCAGAGAGAGAGAGGGGGGGGAAGCAGGCTCCCCGATGAGCAGAGAGCCCAATGTGGGGCTCGATCCCATGACCCTGGGATGACCTGAGCCGAAGGCAGAGGCTTTAACCCACTGAGCCACCCAGATGCCCCAGGACAAGCAACTTTTAACCTTTGGATCAGAGGAAGGGTCTCGGGTCCCGAGAGTTGCTGCCTTTCATGGAGAGGGTTCCTAGATATGCTCTCCCACTGATACACTGAGAACTCAAAGTAGATTCTATGTTGCGTAGACTATAAAGCTGTATGACCAAAGTATATTATTTCTGGAAATGAGAATTGCTCCAGGAGAACTCAAAAAGCAACATGGTAGGAAAATAGAGGGCTGGGGAATCAGCCAAGGCACGGGAAACGGGGTGCGCAGGTTTTCTAGGCTTTGTACATGTTTTTATTTACATTGTGTGTGTGTGTTTTACTTAAAAAAAAAAAAAATTCAAACAAAAATTCAAACAGAGAGGAACCCTCTTGGGAAGGACAGAAATGGGGCATTTGCTCGTGATTCCCTAGGAACGGGGTGAGCACTGTATTGTGAGAACCCGTCTCCAGAGCCGAGCCCGTTCAGTCTTTCTACCTGTTGTGCGGACCACAGGCTGTTCCCGGCACACTGCCTTCCTTGTTGTCATTCTGGTGTTTTTGTTTTCGTTCCTTTTAACAACAGAGATGCCAGTGGGAATAACGGGGAGGGCTGGGCGTATGTGGGTGTCAGGCGTGCGCTGCCTCAGCCTGTTGTGGCCTGCCACGGAGGCTGGGCTGGCGGAGCTGGTGGAGCTGCAGGGGCGGGAGGGAACTTGCCGTCCACGCCAGTGGGGTCACCTCCTCCCTGGCGTGGTCCCCAGCAGCAGCCTGTCCCCTCTGTGCTGTTTGGAAGCCACCCCCCAGAAGGGGGGACTGGGAGGAGCTGGATGCTGGGGCTCTGAGAGGGGCTGAGAAGGGCGGGGAGATGGGCAGAGAGGGTCAGAGCCACTGATGGGAATTGTCAAGAGGGCTAAGGTGTTGGACAGAGCCTGTGGTCACTGACTTGCCCTCCTTTGCCTCCAGCTGCAGGAGGCTGGGACACCTGTTCCCAAGTCCAGGTGGAACCTAGGTCTGTCAAGTTCTCTGCCAAAAAGGGTCTTGTAGCCACGGGCAGCTGGAAGTTCTGCCTACTCTCCGGCCCTGTGGAGGCGCAGCGGGCCCATCAGCATTCTGATGAAGACCCTGTTTGATCCGTTGCTTCCTTCCGCCCTTGTTAGCTGGTACTACTAGTACTGGTACTAGTTATGTATGAACTAGTTAGGTTTCCCTGCCCCTAGCGCAGTGGTTCTCACCCCTGGGGGTGATTTTTCCAGGAATGCGTTGTCCAGGGCAGCCTAGAACACCCCCCCCCCCAACAGGGTTTTTCCGGCTCCACATGTCAGTAATGCCAGGGTTGAGGAGCTCTGTCCCGGGGTGACACAGAACGTCCATTCAGCACCGTTCAAGGGGCAGGTGACAGACCGCAGCTCATTGAAATGAGAAGCAGCAGCCTAATCCACAGAAGCCTCGTTCCCTGCCTCCAAGCCCCACCTGTCGTGGGTTCCATGGGAATCTGATGCATCCTGCAGTCAGCGTGTCCCCCTTGTTCCAGGAGAGGCCTCTTGGTTTCCTTCCCTGCTGGTCCTGCACGTCAGGCTGCCTTTCCCAGTTGTGGCATCTTCAGTTAAGATACAGAAATGACCGCTTGTCAGACTGGGAGCCTCGGGAACCCTGTATTCCCCTCGCCAGGTCTCGTTTGGCCTGTTTACACAGTACAAGGGCCTGCAGGGAGGTTGTGGCTCAGGTCCTGTCCAGTGCTCCGTGGATCACGATTCTTGCTTCTCTCCACCCCGCGCCACGGACACATGTCAACTCCATGTCCACGCTTGGGGATGGAGGGAGGGAAAGAGTCCAACCCATGGGGGTCTAGGAGCCTCCGTGATATTTTGACATCTTTTCTAGCTTTTGAACAAAACCTGTACTCTAAAGAATGAAATAGTAGCCACACGGGCATTTCTCTCTATGGGGCACGCTAGGTTTTTCCCAGATACTCTCTCATTCAGTTTACAGGCAGCTTTACGAAGATTGAAGGGCTCGGTGGGGACATGGGGTTGCTGGAGCTTAACCGTCTCCTGCTCCCCACCACTCAGGGACCCAGATCTCAACCACCCTGTACTCAAGCTTCTGTAAATGCATGAGTGGTGGGGTTTCAAGTCTTTCCTTCAAAGACTATGCCAGATGCTTTTCTCGGTACCTGAGATCAAGTCACAGATGAGCCACACTGGTGTTTGGAATGGCTCCCAGGAACCCACGTTCTAGCAGGGGACTTGGGCAAACAAGCCAAGGTGAAATGTGACAGATTGTCCTTGCATGTTCTCATGCAAGGCATTAAAGTCAAACAGAGGGACAGAGTGGAATGGCAGAGTCAGGGATGGCCCTGGTGAGGAGAAGATGGGTGCGTGTGCAGGAATGGGGAAGTGGTGGTGAAGTATTCTGGGCCAGGGAGAAGCCTGTGCAAAGACCCTGGGGCAGGAGTGATGTTAGTGGGGTTTGGAACACAAAGCAGGCCAGTGTGGCTTGAGGGTGGGGGACAAGGGGGAGAGTGGTAGGTGATGAGGGGAGAGCAGTCAGCAGGGATAGAATCTGCTGGACCACCCAAGCCTCAGGAATGTGGTGGGATTTTATCCTGAGCACGGCAGTTGGACTGAGGGTAAGAGTGACACGCAGTAGGGATGTCTTGTCTTCACGAGACACTACCTTCTCGAAGCTACCAGGCTGTACTTAGCTGTGTCAGGATGGCTCTTGGTTAAACAGCGATGGGCATTGCTTGCAGTGGAGGGTGGGAGGTAGGGAGTGAGAACAGCATGGAAAATTCCACCACATTCATCGACCACAGATATCCTGGATGGTCGTTTCTGAAGAAGAACATGGAAAAGTAGATCAGGAAAGATATCCATGAGAGCCCCTAAGGAAACCAGCCAAGGCCAGCTCAGGCAGCCTCCCCTTCGTGGAGGCAGAAGGGTGAGGAGGTCCTTGGTTCAACTCTTAAGTTGTAGCTTCATGAGCTCATGGAGAAGGCTTGAAGAGCACCTGTAGACAGCAGTTGTTTTCTTGGTGCAGGTTGGTTGGACGCTGGATGCAGAGCCCAGCCAGGTGACCAGCCGGGGGGCGAGATCTGGGAACACGCCCAGTGCCCCCCCCCCACAAAGAGGATTCCACTCTTTGAGTGTTGGGTGCCACTTAGAGGGTTAGCACTGAGCTGGGCAATTTTCCTCCACCACCTCCTTGAAGACCACCGGTGTCGGGAGCTGTGTTTATCCCATAGCTTTACTGGAGGCGTTCCACGCCAGGTTTTCTGGGTGAAGTCCGCATAACTGTAAAGTTGGAGCCCAAACAGAAGAGAAAAGGCTCTATTCAGTCACTGCTGCGAATATTAAAAATAATCCTTGGGCTGATTTAACGTGCAGGGTGGACGCCGTGATTTATGGGCAGAGTAAAAAATAAGGTTCTAGGAGTTTCATGGACGTGTCACTGGGTAAAATGAAGGAGAGTGCAACCAGCATGGTCCAGTAGAACTTTCCAGGATAACAGAAGTGTGCTGTGTGTACGCTGTCGGCTGTGGTAGCGCTGGGAGCGTGGTTGGTGACACGTGAAATGTGTCCAGTGCCGCCAAGGAACGGAATTCTTTTTTTTTTTTTTTTAATAATTTTTTTTTTTAAGATTTTATTTAGTTATTTGACAGACAGAGATCACAAGTAGGCAGAGAGGCAGGCAGAGAGAGAGAGAGGAAGGGAAGCAGGCTCTCCGCTGAGCAGAGAGCCCGATGTGGGGCTCGATCCCAGGACCCTGAGACCATGACCTGAGCCGAAGGCAG